ATTTATTGAGAAAACATTTGAGTGATCATCTTCCAGTGAAAGATTTTTGGATCAAGATCTTAGCACGTCGCTCTCCTCCATTGCCAATCAAGGATCTTCTCATCAAGAAACGACCACCCATGCATCTTTTGACCTTATCAGAGACAGAAAAAAACAAGAAATGTACGTATGCAACACTCTGTCTTTCTTCTTACTCGATGATATTTTTTCTTTCTATTTCTTCTTTTTTGTTTTCGTTTCTAGATACTCTCGACCAGGATATTCACATTGGTTAACATGTTTACTTCAATAGAATTATTCATCTCTTCGCTTTTTTTTTTCTTCTTTTCTTTTCTTTCTCCTATTTATTTCATTCGTAGATGATAGAAGCTTAGTGTCGTGTTGTCATACAAATCATTTTGCCGATGAATCCATTAGATTCTAGATAGGAACATTGGTTTACTTTCGATTGTCTTTATGAACATGATTCGGCTATGATTTTTGACAAAAAGAAGTGTTCATTTGAATACAAACAATCGATAGAATAAACTGTCATGAGAAACAAAAGCTAATAAGACAGTTATCATCAATGTCATTTCGTTTCATTTCTTGTTTTTGTTTTTGTTTTTTCTTTTGTTGCATGTTACTTTCGTTATTGTTCTATTGAGTCTAGATTGTTTATTTCGATATTGAATCTATTTATCAATCATTTTCTTTTTTAATTTTTAGTTGTAGATTAGACTTTCATTGACTATGATCCTATTGTAAACACGCCTACTTGTTGATCAATAAGAATGGTCATTGAAAATAAACATGAGAATGATATACTAGGTAATGTGACTCGATTGACACAAAAGATATAGATGATCCTTGAAATGATAACTGCATTTATCATTTGTATTTAATTTTTGTGTACAACAATACTAGACAAAAAAAAAGCTTCATTATTGTTAATGAATTGTTCTCTAATAAATTTAACACAATGAATTGAAACAAAGGATTCATCATTTCTATGTTCAATTGTTGTAGATTTTTTCAATGAATAATAATAGAAGATCATTATGGGATACTCCGTCATTTGGAGACAATCAAGGTCGTTGGTATGAGCTCTTATCACCAACTCAAGTATTAAGTAGACAAGAGCAAAATGATACGATGGACGTTGACTCGAACAATAGTCATATCATAGACGACGACGACGATGACGACGACAACGATCATATGTTGATCAATGAAACTGAAGAACTTCCATCGAAGTATCAGTTACAAGTATGAACAATTGCCTTTTTGTTCTGTCGAAAATAATTTTCTTCTTTCTGTCTACTTTAGCCAATGGAAGAACAAATTTTATCACAAAAACTAAGTCAATTAACAACTTCACCTCAATCAACTGAGCTTCGTATGATGATGAATGAAAATGGAGAAGCAACTATTCCAGATTATCTAGGAAAAGAAAGTCAATCTTTTGAACAACTCATCATCGCTCATGTATTATCGACAGATAAAATCACAGAATTACGACAAATGGCTATACTCATGTATCAATATTCTATGATTAATTTACAAAAATCACTTTGGATGACATATTGGAAAGCAGGTATGGGTCAATTTAAATTATCAAATCAAATCGGTCCACAACTTTGGCCATTAGAAGTTCAATCAAAAATAGAAGCATCAACGAACAATGAAAATAAGAATGATGCCTGTCAAGTTTTTGTGAGTCAATATCTTTCAAAATTAGATAATCAACTAAAACAACATGAAACTGAACTGTTAATTAAAAGATATCAATTATCTGATTATATAGAAATTATTGAAACATTTGTTCGACGAGAACTTGAACCTATTCGCCTATATTTTGACTATCAAATGGCAATAGTTGAATATAATTATCATAACCATATTTTAAGCTTAGAATATCTTCAACATAATCCAACATATTATCAAGCAAGTTGAAGACAATGTCATTTTTTTTTGTTTTGTCATTGATTGACTAATCATTTTTCTTATTTCTCTTAGAAACTAATCGCAAAACAACTTTGCCATGCTAAATATCAAGAAGAAATAACAAGAGAAGAATTTCATTTTTTAAAAGAACAAAAATTGAATAAGAAATCTTCTCAATCGTGTGAACTACCATCTTTGGAAACATTCTTCAATACAATTGAAGATAATGATATTCGACAAAAACTACATGATCAATATAGAAGCGTAGCACAACAAAGAACAGATGATATGATACAATCGAGTGTTTCATCAGCTGAGACTGAAATGAATCAATATAGTAAACAATTTAATTCTCAATTGAAACAATTCTGGCTTGAACAACGTTCTCTTCCATCCAATCAAAAGCTATCGAGTCTTATGATTCATTTGATTGATGAATGCCACAAGAACATTAGTAAATCTGTCAAATGTTTTTATCACTATAAAGCTAATTTAATGCATTTGAATTCTACTCATGATTCGTTTGATAAAATATAAATTTATGCTCAATATTTCTCTTCTTCTTTCTCATTCATTTTTATTTTAGATATCAGACGTTTGAAACGATTTTCAGATGCCGAAACAAAATGGAAGCTTCATCATCGCGATTAACTCAAAATACGTCAGATTATTCACAGGAATGACGCTCATGGACTCAAATCTACGCTTTCCAACTGTCCATCTACCTTTGACATAGACTCTCAAGCAACAAAAACAAAAAATGAACGTAGATTTCTTCATTATTGACTACAATTGCAGACTCAATAATTTCGTCATGATCTTCACAGAAATTTCTAGTAACCTTATCTAAAACCTGAATTTGAAGACCAAATGTGACCAGTCAGTTTTTCATCATTGGATCTTCTCGAAAAGTCTACTAAGAATGACGTAATGGAAAAACAAAACTAATAAATATAGTTTATGTCAAGAATTCGTCCAGAAACGCTTTGAAGAGAAATTCAATGTCAATATGATCAACGTACTCATCACTTAATGATAGAATCTCAATCGTGTCCAACAATACTTTATCCATCGGTCACATGTCATAGGAATGGAAAAGAATTTGTCCAACAACAACAATCATCGTCCAAGAAAATTATACTATCGATTACTAGGATGTAAATATATCGTACAGAAAAAAGAACGATTACAGACTCGATTAACTTATAATGTTACTATTGATCAAATAAATTTCATCCGTACGTGGCATTTATTTATTTTTATTAGAAAAAGTACCATCGATCAATTGGTTAACTTACGACAAACACACTTAATACTCTATAAAGATTTTCATAACCTACAAACACACATTTCAATTTAATATATATATATATATATATCGTGATTTTGGCCGCTTCGAATATTTCAATAGTTCAGATGATTATTTTTCTATAATTCATCATTTTCACTCATGGGCGTCATACAGAGACGGACATATGTATGACATTCTGTATCGATTCTCTCACAAAGAAACCTTTTAATCATGAAAGCGTCTCATATCTTTAAAATTAATGGAAACTTATAGTCATATCATTGGGTTCCAAGGAGAAATCTTCATATGAGACGTATCTGAAACATTGTAACAGTTTTGATTCAGATGTTTTTAAGTAATCATTTTTTCTTAGCTGGTCAACAACAGAATAATTCATGTGTTTCATCATTCTCTTACCCGAGAAAAATTATTAACCTTCTAGTAGTGAGTTCATTCAATGAAACCTTTATCTTCTTCTTATTGTTTCTTTTTTCTTATGATAATATTTTATAAGAAATGACTCCATTTGAAAGCAAATTCTAGATAACATTCTCTCAAACACGATGCATCAACAACCAACAGTACAAGAATATCAAGCACGTACTATAAATGACAATAATCGTGCACGTTTCGATATTTTACCCGCATTTCCTCGTGTGCTCATACAAACAGCAATTGAACGCACAGATCGGCATTATTCTGCTCCTCTTCTAGCTAATGTTCCAAGTATGTATAATAGTCAATTTTTTTGCTTTTTACTTTGAATCAATCGCATATCTTCATAGATCATCTACTTACTGAACATGAACGTCAACGTCGTTTACCTAAAGCCTATTCTGATGCATTCGAATTAAAGTTGAATTCAGATGTGGCTACATTTTTTGATTTCGACGAAATGTCATTTATTTATACATTATATGATATATTTTTCAATAGATATAGTCGACAATGGAATATTGATACGAACATTCTCGACTACAATCTTGTTCGTTTACAAAAATGTCTAGATAAAATATTAGCAATGTTAAATATCGAACCAACTTTAATGCCATTCTCATCACGTGAATGGCCCATAGCATTGGAATTTTACCTCCAGATCGATGTTGATTTATTCTATATGAAAACATGTTCATTTCGTGGGGCTTCCTTTCACGATGATAAGGATCCATGGCATTCCAATGACATCGATCAACATCTTTTCTGTCGAGATGCACCCAAGGCGAACTTTGGCATGTTACCATGTGATTGTAAAACATGTTTGTGTTGTCATCCATCGGAACGTTTTCTACAACAGCAAACGCCACTAGCAGTGCAATTTTCTGCCAATCATATTCATCGTTTTCTGAATAAATACGAAGCGATTCTCAATTGTCCAGCTGTAAGTATATAAATAAACTTCAAATTCTAAAATACTACCGAATAGTTGGTTTAAACTCATGAACAGACATGTGATACGGCTAATATTGTTTATGCATTGACATGTCCATGTGGTCAATTCGATTTTGTTAGTACGACAACAAAATCTTTTGCAGAATGTTTCGCTTGTAAGTCGTAGTACTCTCAACGCCTATTTTGACATAACCTTTTGAGAATATTTCCTTGAATATGACAGATCATCAACAAGAAAGTCATCGAGTTATTGAAGAAAGTTTAATTGGTACAATGGCTGTTAATCGTATTTTTGAAAAATCTCCTGAGTGAGTATCTTTCTTTTTTTGCATTTGACTAACCATCTATATTTCAATTCGTATGCAATTATCCAATGATGTAGAACAAAGGTTAATGACACGATATGGTTGTATCAACATTTGACTCAATGTCCATCTGCCATGCAACGCTTTCTTGATTATCATCCAGAATATTGGTGTCTAGTACCAATGAAATCTGATGAAGCCGACAGAGAAAACAATATCTATCCATCGACAGCAATATTATTACCATTGAATAGAACGATAGACAGTGATGATATGACAAATTTGCTCAATGCTCTACCGAAACCACTATTCGGCTACAACTTTTCTCGTCGTCAAATCGCAGAACAATATCATCTGTTATTAAACATAAACGATCCAAATAAAGCACCAAGCCTCCATATCCCGCTTTACAATATGGCCATTGTCGCTGTTCGTAAGTCATTCATGAATATCTAGTTTTCCAAAGATATGCTAACTAAGAGTGAAACACTTTGCCTACTTTTAGTGCCCGATCCTTGTTCAGACATTTTACGACGCCTTATTGAATCATTATTTATTACTCATGCTGAATGTAAATTAAATCAAACAGGTCATCTACTCGACAACAATAATAACTCATTAGACAATCCATTCCATCCATTAAATGATATCTACAATAATTTACTTCGTCCAATCCGCGACAAAAACCTAGCCATGTCATAGACTTTAATTATTACTTTGACTCGACTTTTTTTTTCTTTTGAATTATTTATCCAATAAAACTATTCTATTTCTAATCTTATTGAAACATTTAATCAAATGTAATTTCTTTCAGATCTACGACACTGAAGCACACTTGAAACATGGACAAAACGTCAAACAAAATAGTTCAGCCGATTTCCAATACACATGTAAACATATCATTTAATCTCTGGACACTGAAAATAATCATTGTATTCTTCCACAAGACTTCAATGACATACCGATCAAGAACCATTATAGTCAATCTACTGATCCAACAAACAATTACTTATCCAAAGAAATCAATATCGATTTAAGTTTGTTTTAGATTGCAATGACTACCATCTGATGATCATTGTCGCTAGAGTGAAATATGATACTAGTATGGTTGCTCCCAATACTCATACTCTTCTTTCTAATGTTCCTTTGAGTGAAATTAGTGCGCATCGGAATAGTTGAATGAGTCTTTTCTATGGTGCGAAAACTGAAATCGTTCTCTTGATGAGAATCGTTTTCCAATGTCATCAGAGGTAATTCGTTCTATTGACGGATAATTCTTCTCGGTTCGAACACTTGTGCTCCTATCACTCTGATACTAGCTTGCTTTGTGTTTCGCTACCATCATTTATATATTCTATTCAGATCCATCGTCATAACAAAATCATTTTGATACTGTCAATACTATTTTAGATAGGCATATTACACAAAACGACCTTTTTATGTCACGAGAAAGCTATTTATTTTCTTCGTTGATCAATGAAAATAGTTCGATGGATACTAAAAAGAATCAAATCAAATCGCCAAAAAGCAATGTTCAACAATCAACTTTAAATCATCCCACAATATTGCCTTGTATTTGTCACAAAAATCCAACAGAATGGTTCAAGTAATCTGTTTATTTCTTTTTCTTTTGGTCTAAGTCAGCAAATCGATGCATTATATCTTGTTATTCTAGTATTCATCATAGCTGCATGAGTCCATCATGTAGGAATTCACAATCACGCTTGTCTTCGTCAGACATTTTGTTCAATTCGAAGACACATGAATCAATTGTACCCAGTGTCTATGAGGAAAAAATGACTAATTTAAAACAAGAAGAAATAGAACAAGATAAGGATTGTTTAACAAATGAAGAACAATTCGATGAAATACATCTTACGAATGAAGAAGAAGAACAAGTTGAATATCTTGTGCAATTTCTTCGAAATGGTTCCCCGATAGATCTTGCTATAGATAATGGTATTATGCCAGAATTAAATGATATATTAGACACCAAAACAAATGAGAACGATAATAATCAAATTTCCAATGAATTTCAAACATCATCATCATCAGTCATAATGAGAACATATCCATATCCTCCTTTGAATCAAACAGGTAAGATTATCGATCATGATCGTCCTTATGCTAAGTATCGTTATTTCAATCGACAAACAATTGCCAAACTTTCTCAATTTAATCTTCGACCACCGTCGTCGTCATCTCTTCAACAGCCCATTCGATTAAATCTTAAATCGTTCGCTATTCTATCATGGACCACTGTTTCCAAAGATGCTGTAATGAATTATATTAAACGAGAATTCCCTATTAAAAACATTCAATATATTTGTGTGGGTGAAGGAATAAGTCGAATAGCTGCTCATCAACAACAGTTAGAAATACAAATTATTTTGAAAAAAAAAGTCAATAAAAGAACACGATTTCTTGATCGACTTACTGAAACTTATTGTAATTATAAAGTGACAACTAATGATCTTGCATGGAATGAATATATTAAAAAAAATCTAAATTTTATTGAATATAATCGATTTAAATCAACCAAAGTACGCGGAAATAAACATTGGCCACCATTACCATTATCAACAGCAGCAGTCGTAGCAGAAGCAGCAGCAGCAGCAATAGCGATATCCAAAGTAGCAGCAAAAGCAGCAGCAAAAGCAGCAGGAAAAGCAGCCACAGCAAAAATAGCAGCGAAAGTAGCAGCAGAAGCTGTAGCAAAGGTAGCAGCAACATCCTCTCTTTCAACTTCATTTGATCAGAATCAAACAACATCAATACTCAGAGAAAAAACAAGTACAGGAACACAAACAGAAGAACGATGGCAACATCAGAATGAAGAAGCTAAACGAGCATTGGAACTAGTACAAACAGGCCTGATTTCGAGCGATAAACCTATGCATCACATTCACCCATACAAATAAATATCTACATACGTTTATTGACAAGTTTGATTGAAGCATATTCATCGGCCTATTCAATGACCGACTTTCTTTTTACTCCAACAAAGTATCATTTTCAACAAATCATTTTTCTTTTTGATTTGTTCGTAGGAGTAGTAGTCGTCGTTGTTTACACATTTTTGACTTTTTTTCGTCCATTTCTATTCACGATATATTATTTCAAATTCATGTCTTTACTTATCCTGTTCTTTGTTTTTATCCTCGCATAAAATTGATAATCGTATTCTTGTGTAATTTTTTGTTTTCCTATTCAATTGTCCTTTTTTTTTTGTTTGTTAACCTTAAGAATGGTTCACCTGTACCGTTTGGTGGTGATCACCATTACTTTCATCACACTTTAAATTGAATTGAATTGCTCGATCAATCGACTATCTTTCAGATTGTATTATTCATGGCAGAAGAACCTAATCCGAATTCAACCGTCGATGAAACTGATAAATGACTTGCTGCTGAAGAATTTTTATCGAGTAATACAAGCATGCTATGATAATACAGGTGAATAAATAAACAGAAATGAAATTTATCGAAAATTGTTCGATCATTTTAATTTCTTTACAGAAGACGTCACAATGAATTCACCCACACCGATCACACCGAATCTATTAAATAGCGCTTTTATCGATGTATGCAACATCTTCGAAAGATCCTCCTCGTCACTCGACTGAAATTTGATAACATAATAGTAACTCTACACAAACACAACCGAGATTATAATGATCTATTATATACATATCCACATCGAAAAACTCAAAATAATCACTATCAATGGCCACGTCAAATGACAATTGCTTTAATATTTCATGCGGATTTTTTTATAGGAACTGGACAATCAGTCATTGGAGTCGATATCTTGAAGGAACGCAAATCATAGGACTGTCGACGAAAAATCTGAA